AGCGGTTCTAGAGTTGTTTCTTTATAATGATATGTAGATGTATTTATAATGAGATATTAAGATTATATATAGGGCCCGTATACATATATTTTTTTAATAAATTAATAAAATTTATTTATATTTATATATTTATATTCATATATATATATATATATATATATATATATATATATATATATATATATATATATATATATATATATATATATATATATATATATATTAACTTTTTCTTGTGATATCATGTGTTACACCCGACCGTGTAATGAATGTGGCCCACGAGGCAGAGGCGTAACAAGGGGAGGGCGTCCTAATTGGGTGCCAAAACGGTTAGAAAAAAAGCTCATTTTGTGTTGAAATTTTGATTTATGCACAGTCAAAGTTATGAAAATAAATTGTTACAAGGCTTTAAATGAAGATTTTACTGTTTTCTACATCAATTGGGTTGCACCTAAATGAAAACTGTTACGGGATAGTGACTGCTAAAAAGAGCATCTAGACTTTCCGACTGAGGGACGGGGCGTTTTTTCACAAACATGAATAACTTTATATACTTGCCTCCCTCCTCATCAACATGTTACACAACATTAATAACAACATCAGCAGTTGGATCACAGATTTGGTTCTAAAATTACAAACTGGCAAGTCAAACAAATAATTACAAGCTCAGCAGTAGGACCACAAAATTGATAATTCGCCCTGGGCGCCGGGGTGGATCACTGCGCCTCTGCCTTAGGGAGGGGGTGTAACTGGGCTACCATTGCAGGTCTTCATTTACTGTCAACCCTAAAGATTAGCTTTGTAAGATAAAAAAAAAAACAACGACAAAATTTCACTCAAGTATAATATATTTTTTTCCGGCTGTAATCTCTATAAAAATAATCAGATGTCCATAAATTAAACCTTAACAATTGACAAATTATAACATTTAAACGGTCTTGCTAGGTTTTGAAATGTGTAGCTTTTTATCTATTAAACTTGCGAAATTACTTTGTTTTTTCTATTAAAAATGCGAAATTGTTTCATTTTTTCTTTTAAAGATGCGAAAATGTTTCCTGAAAATATTGGACCAAAATCGTAGGTTCCTATTTTATTTTAATCTGAGAACCCCTTTAAAGTTGTGTACGTGATGTGATGAGGGACTCTGGGATATGTTGATAAGCGGTATGGGTGGGAATCTTCTATGGCTGATAAAACCTGCTAAGATAAGGGGGATAAGTAAAAAAAAAAAACAGGGGATAAGGGGGGATAAGAAATGACATCGTTGGTCGCCATCCGGGAGGAAACAAATAATAAACAGAGTGGAGATCATTATTTTCATTCCCGGGTCGTCCCGACAACACGCCCAACCCCGGGGGTGAGGGAGAAGGGACCGCTGTGAACTTCAAAGGCCAGCACCCGTGTCAGGGGGCCCGCGAGAGGAGGAGATCAAAGCGAGGCTGTTACCGCGCGCCGTGGGGAGGCCCCGGTGGTTTATCTTACGTACGTATTGCCTGGTTCTCTTGTCTTTAAACCCAACCCAACCCCCCCCCCCCCTTACCCTCCCCTCACCTCTGCGTCTGTCTGTAACGATTCGTGTTTTTTTTTTACCTGATGTGTAATCAAGTCCAATAAGGTTAAACGGGTGACGGAGCTTCACTACACGGGGATGGGGTGGGGGTGGTCAGTCAACGACAGAGGCGTAGCGATCCCTCCCGGCGCCCGGGGACAAACTTTCAACTTGCCCCCCCCCCCCCTATATAATTTTTATATTTATAATTCAAAACTGCAGCTAAAGTTAGCTTTTAATTACTATTTTTTAACCATTTTGGCGCCCGGGGACATATCTAACCCCCCCCCCCCCCCCGTCGCTACGCCTCTGGTCAACGATAATGTGCCTTTAAACTAAAACTATTTATAATGGGATAACGTGGTCGAATAGTAGAGCGTTTGGCTGTTATCCCGAAGGTCTTGAGTTCAGATCTCGATTCGGGTTTGTGAATGTTGAAGTCCCTGAGTAAGACCACACACCTCTGACTGGGCATAATCTGAGCCCATTATCCCCTTGAATGTCGAGGTCATTAAAACAGATGAACTCTACTTCATCTGCCCCATGTGTCTTGGGCACAAACGCGAAGATGATGTATACAGTAATACGTGGTCGGTGTGATCGAGTGGTAGACACAAGGTAACTAAGCTGATAGTCTTGAGTTCAGTTCACTGTCATGGCTCTATTAGGCGTCTTGTGTATAGGAGAACACAAAGGTATATATAACATATCTGGTCTCTTAATATAGAGAGACAAATGCACTCTACTTCACCTGCCTTTTTGGTCTAAAATTAATTATGCTGTATTTCTTTTTTCACCGCATAGAAGAAGATGGTCGACAAGCCGGTGAACGGAAAAAAAAGTCACAGGAAAAAAAAAACAGAAAAAATTCATAGTTTTTGCTAGGAAAAAAAAATAACAGAAAAAATAAACCGGGAGTGATCTCCCCTAAACTTTCTCGAATATTCTTATATAAAATAACAGGGGATGGGAACTCGGGCTATAGACATGATTTTTAATCCATTTTAAATACTTAAAGTTTTAAAAATAGAATAAAATCTCGTAGACAAATTAATTGCACACCAAGTGAACGCCAAATAAAAAAAGCGCATAATAGTGCGCAATATTATTAGTACTTCTAAAATTTACATTAGTTTTTTGAGAAATCGAAAGTAGCGTAAATTACTACTTCCAGTCAACGGAAATTACTCAAAATTTAACAGAAGGTAGAGAATTAGATCTTTTACTTACATGTTAAATTTCATGTATCTATCTGAAATAGTACTCAAGTTATAGGCTTTTGAAAAATTCAAAGTAGGAAAAGTACCACTTCCGGTTATCGAAAATCGCTCAAAAGTTGATACGGATCTACGATTTTGATAAAATACTTATATATGAAATTTCATCAACCTAGCTGTAACGGTACTCAAGTAATCGTGTTTACACACGGACACACAGACACACAGACACACACACAGACATACGGACAAGATTGCAAAATTATGTTTTTCCGTATCAGTGAGGTGTAAAACGTCGAGATTTGTAAAAATCTCGATTTTTTTTTTTGCACGATTACAATACTTTCTCTATACTTCGTATATACGAGAAAGTAAAAAGTCACAAAGGAAAAATTTTATCGGAAAAAAGTCACATAAATAAAGTCACAGAAGAAAAGTCACCAAAATCTATAATTGCTTAATTATTAAGAATTGTAAAATTGTGGGTGTTTATTGGTGAGGGTTGTTTTTGTTATGTTCACATATTTATAAACGTAAAAGCTTTATGGTTTATAACAATAATACGTAACAATAATATGACTTAATTTACACAGCATCCTCAATTTTTGTTACGTATTTAGTTAAATACGCAGTAGAAAAAATTAATTACAAAAGAAATGTTGGCATAACTTTGTGTTTTGCATATTTATTTATTTTTTGCTGTTGGCTTCTCTTACAATCGATAAGACTTGTTATTATTGAGTTGTTGTTTTATTTTCAATCTTACATATTTTTACATATTTATGTTAAAAAAAATGTAGCTCATATAATTTTGACCGTGGACGATAGTGTGTTGCTTAAGTGCTCCGCCATTAATCACTCACGCAAAGCTGGTATCACCCATCACACTAAACCTAACCCTAATCAGAAACCCCCGTGGTCTAGCTGCAAATTCTGGCGCCTCTTAGAAATAGCTATTAACGTGAGTAACACGAAGACTTCGTTCTGAATAATTATTGGCTACAATCGCTTTAACTCCAAAGAGGAACAACCTAAGAAATACCAGACACAAAAATTACAATGAAGAGTTGTGGCCCCTAAGTAACTTAGTTCTTAAAAACACACTTGCTGAACAAGGGGAAATAACTTCCGTTGTACGAATATGACAGAAAAAGTGGTTAACTTTTCTTTCACTGAGCTTTTTCTTATTTTGTTTAGTTCTTTGTGATAACATGGTGAATGTGAGTCTTTTATGTTGATTTTTCAGATTTAAAAAAAAATTGTTTGAACATCTAACAACAAAAAATGTTCAATCACAATTTTTTTTAAAAAGTATCCTACACTAAAGACAGCAAAGATGTCTTGGAGATTGCAAAATAAACAGCTGGGACAGACAAAGGGAAAGGTTATGGCCCAATGCACCACAAGGAGTTAAGAGGATTAAGTCAAATCAACAACAATAAACAAGCCACAAGATATATTTGTTTTGTAACCCATCCAATTTTAATTGTATTGAAATATTTTTTAAATTTACATTTTTATATTGTTAAAATATGTTCATAGTAAACAATATAAACAATTTTGATTATTGCAGAATTTTTTTTTAATTAAAAATTCAAGAACTGCTTAGGAGACAGTGATAATTTATACACTTTCTATTAAACCAATGGTTTGACTTATATAAGCAGCAATAGACATTTATGGAAATTATTTTATTAAATCTTAACAGCTGCAAAATTAGTTCGTTCTGACGGAGTAGAAGAACTGTCAATTAAAAAATGTAACAATTTTTTTTAAACCGTAAATACTTACTCCTTTTAAGTGTTAACTCATAATATTGAAACAGATTAAATCAGGAATGTAGGACAATTCCAAAGTAAGTCCACATAGATTTAACTCTGGCATGAATGTAGGGGGGATCAACGTCCAAATAACTGGTATGAATGTAGAAGGGGGCAAAACAATGTCCAAATAACTGGTATAAATGTGGGAGGGGGAGCAACGTCCAAATAACTGGTATGAATGTAGGAGGGGGATGACACACAATGTCCAAATTACTCTGGAATGAATGGTGGGGGGGGGGGGCAACGTCCAAATAACAGGTATGAATGTAGGGGGGGGACAATGCCCAGATAAATCTGTTATAACAGAAATGATTACATCCAGTGGTACAAAGGTTTTAATTTACACAAATCATATACAGTAAAAAGAAATCATTTCAAAAGGCACAATAATTCTAACATTAACAATTGTAGTTTGTTTGTTTTTTTGGTAATTTTATTGCTAAGCTTTTCAGCATTTAAGTGTAGCTTATGATGTCCTTGTGTCTGTAATGGTTCACAGAAGTTATAATTTTGAGACAACACCAAAAAAAAACCAGCTGATAAATGAGACATACGTTATGCAACGATTTACATCTGGGGGAAAAAATGACTAGCAATTGTAAATTGATCTACCATTACTATTTTAGACATAGACAATGTGAGGCAGTTGTAATCTTTTGTGTTATTAGAAAAAAACAGCATAACTGTTTTTTTTTAATATAATCAAAAGCCTATTTTATTTTTTATTTACATGACTACAGAGAAGATTCAATTGAAATAAAATACAAGCAAGTTAAAACAATATAGTCAGTAAATTAATTAGTAAATAAAAACTTTTAACTAATGTTAGATTGAGTTTTGAAATGATACATTTTTAGCTACTTTATCAAAAACATTTGCCATCTTTGAAAAAGAAATGGTTTTGAAAAATACCTAAATAAAGGTAAAAAATTTCAACTATTTGACCACTTGCAAAAACATAGAAAAGAGAAAAATACATGTCAAAAGCATTTATTAATAGTGTTACATAACATTAATTACATCATCAGCAGTTGGACCACAGATTTGGTTCTAAAATTACAAACTGGCAAGTCAAACAAATAATTACAAGCTCAGCAGTTGGACCACAAATTTAGTTCTAAAATTACTAACTGGCAAGTCAAACAAATAATTACAAGCTCAGCAATTGGACCACAAATTTGGTTCTAAAATTGAAGACCTTAGTGCTAAAAGTACTCAAGTCATAAAAACAAAATTTTCAGATAAATGAGTAAAGATGTTTTTTATTTTACGTATTTTATAAAGAACCACTTAAATAAGTATTTCACTATTAACATGTGTACAAAAAATAAATTCATACGACCATTGCTTGGTTTGATTGTCACAAAAATATGTGACTTAATTATTTTCAGCAATAGGTTCTTTAATTACAAACTGGCAAGACAAAGAATAATTACAAATTCAGCAGTTGGACCACAGATTTGGTTCTAAAATTGCAAACTGGCAAGTTTAACAAAAAAAAATAATAAAACTCATTAGAAAAAATGAGTGTAAATTGTTTGATGATGAATATGATATTAACAGTGAGTAATTGTTTATAAAAGAGCAAACACTTTTACATCAGTGAATATAGGCTAGTGTATTATAATCAACTGTGTACAATTTTACCAAATTTATAAATTTATCAAAAAATTAAAATAGAATATCAGCGCTGTAGCACACTTGTAAATGTTTAAATACAAAACCTTTTATATATATATTACATTTACATATTTTTGAGATAATGCTTAAAAAAATAGAATCGCTGCATAAATAGATGGAGACCACCATTAACTGTGGTTAATGCCCTACTTATTTTTTACTTTTAGATGTGGTGTTGCAGAAAACTATCAAAGTTACAAGATATGAAACAATTCACTGGAAAAGAATATAACAAAAATATGTATTAACTCAACAAGTAACAAAGTAGAAAGAAAAAGTTTTTAAGCATTTTTACAAGAAGCAGTCTTGATATTAAGCAGTAGGTAAGAACTACCAATTGTATACTATTTAATTCTAATGGAAGATTCAATAAGCCATCACAAAACAAACATTACTGATGGACTAGTTATTCATATCATCTGTAAAAAGTAATGCTAAAGTTTTACAAAAAAGATTACATTTAACCCTCTAGTTGTGGAGAAGTTAATATAAAATGTAAAGTGTTGTTGGACAACATTGTGACTTCTATCGTCAAAGTATATTTGATTTTACATCATCAACTTAATTTTTATTATAAAAGTGAATATAAAAGCAAACAATTTATCCAAAAAAAATTTCAAATATATACATATAGATCTAATATTTATATTATATAAAAATATTTTTTCCCATTTGGAATGCAGGTTTTAAGGCATTTGTTTGAAAAGATTTGAGATACGGACCCTGTGATTATCCATTCAATAAAATATGTATATAAAATTGTCAGATATACAAATAATATAGAACTGATTAAATATCAATTTTCTAAAAGAACATTTGAGTATATTAAAATAATTTGACTCTTGTGAGATTTAAGTAATTACACAACAATTTGTGAGAAGACTAGATTATTTGTATAAAAAAATTCCAAAATTTCATGACAATCTACATTATTGGTTAATATCATCTGTATACGGGAGAAAATTAGACATATTCAAAAAGTTTCAACACCTTAGACAAAGGCACAACCATATACAACAAGTTTTATGCTACAAATTTGAATATCCTTTAATTAACTGACCATATCCCAGCATTCAGCTTACACTGGATTTCCTTCACTTTTGTAAATCTTACCTCAACAATAATTAATTTAAAACTCAATGACACAAAAAAATTAAAAAAAAGAAAGGTAATAAACTAAAATATACCAAATACTAATAAGTACAGTGTGGTTCGTGAACTTTGACCTCAAGCATGCGACTCCTTCATGTGAGGCGACGCAGCGTTCCCGTTCCCGTCAGTCTCTTTAGAGTTCTCCATCTTGAACCTGGTCCACAACACCTTGATGAGGTCCATGACGATGATCTCACTGGAGTTGTTGCCCACGGAGCGCAGGAGGAAGACCCCGTCGTCCCTCAGGTAATGGTGGACAAACTTCTGGAACAATGTCCGCTCGGTTTTTGAGCCCTTGTCTCCTAAGATGACCAGGTACTTCTCAATAAAATGCTCACGTCTTTTGCTGAAAGTTACAGAAGTTTTACTTTTTAAATTGGCATTTTCGAAATGGTTGCCTTGTTGAGCATCCATTTTAAAGCACTTTCAATTTAAACCCTTGCAGATATCACACCTATTAAATTATTTTACTCGCACTAGAATTAAATCGCAGAATGCAAATGGCTTACTTTTTATATTTCTAAATTTTCATACATTTTTGGATTTCCACACTTACATAAAAATTAATTTTTATTTATCTAAAGTTTTATACAAATTATATTACTCAAGCATACCTGAAGAAAATATCAAAAGTCCACATAATGAAATTGATTGCTGAAGCAATAGATAGCAGAAAAAGCCAAAACCAAGCAATGGCGAAAATTTTCTCAATAAAGAGATTGATGCTTAGAACACACTGAAATGGAAAGATTTATGCAAATATTAGTAAACTTGTTAAGAATGTTGAAAATGAATTGAGAATTTAGACAATTTAAAGAGTTACCTTGCATTAAAAATGTAATCAATACTAAATTAAGACAATGAAAATATAAATGAATATGCTTGTTAAACATTGTTTATTAAAAAAAAATAACACAAAAATGAATTATTTAAAAAATAGCAGTAAAAAATGTTAACTACCTGAAGGGTAAAAGTCTGTACATTTTGGAGTTGTCTGACCTGGAAATCACACAACACTTCCCTAGGGAAATGGTCAACATCCACCCACTTGCCACCCAGATGCTGCAACACTTGAAAGCCATAGGTCCAATAGTTGAACTAAAAAAAATAATTTAAAAGCCAAATTATATTTTACACAGGCCAAAATAAAATAAAAATAATGTATTTTGGCACATAAAAACGATTGCAGTTTTTAAAAGCAGCGAAACAACTTCTTTGTTGGAACTAACAACAAAACAACTAGTTTTGTTTATATGATTATTTTAGCTATGTGTCAGCCTACAGCAAAATAAAGACTTATACAAAACAATGTGGGTCTCTTGAAATGAAAACCATACATAAACAATTGTAAAAGTTTACCTTGAGGAAGGCGCTCAGCATGACAAACTGGCACAACACATTAATCAGGTTGAGGAGTTTAATGAACAGGTACAGCCCAGTCAGGTAGGTTCCATGTCTCTTGCCTAGTGCAAAGCACAAAATGCCTGACATTTTTTCTTTCACTCTCACCACTACATTGTACTGGAAAAGAATTATAGATTTTTATTGCTATTATACAAACAAATTGTATTTTCTTTTTCAGCTAAATGCAAAGAAATGACAGCTATAATTTTAACATAATGTAATTTGTGTTAACATCTGGGTGAGGTTTAGCAACTAAAACTCAAATGTCCTATTTTGTCTTTAACCGAAAAGTACCCAAAAGCTATTCAACACAATGTGTTAAATGTTTAATAAAAACACTAGATTGAAATTAACAATACGAAAAATAATCAAGAAGTAATCTTTAACTAGTAAAAAATTATATTATTCTAATTAAGGTATTGATACTTAAGTCAATAATAAACAGAACAAGCAGTAATGTAATGAATCAGCACATAAATGAAAACAAAAAATTGTTACTGTGGGGTAATCAACTAGTCAAGTAGGCAAAAAAGATTCACACACAGGAGTAAAAAAAAAGTTAAGAAAGAGATTTAATTTGTTAATTTTTTAACTAAACTGTTGAATAATTATTTAAATAGTTTTATAAAACTTAATTACAGCTAACAATTTTAAAAGTTGAATTTAAAAACAAACATTAGAAAGTACATGTATATATATATTTTTAAATAAGTTAAATAGGCCAACCATATTCAAAATATTAAAAAATCTTTATTATTCACACTGTTAAATAGGTAACCTTATGAAAATAATCAGCATATGTAGGCCTATATGGCTACTGGTAATAACTAAAAATAATGAAATGTTGGATACACTATGTAAATGTATTGGTTTTAGTTCACTCTGATGTTAAAAAGTTGACAAACTCTGCCCACAATGAACTGGACACTATCTTACATACACATTTATCCCTGCAGGCTATGGATGTGGAAACAATACGTTTATCCTATAAATCAAACCAGAGGTTATTGAGAAAATATAAAGACATATATTTTATTCATTATCAGTCAAATTTAAAAATAAATTTGTTGCTCATTTTAAAAATTATTTAAGCAACGTAATTGCAAACTAGGGAGAGATCTCGTAAAATTATGGTTTCTATTTTAAATATAATCCTTTAAGCTTTTTCTCATAACTCTATTGTTTATGTTTGTATATCACTGTTTTTAGTTTTCTCTGCTTGGTGCTAAAGAAGATTGCATGTGTAAAACATAAGTACTTGTTATACTCCTTTACATGGGTGTCAGCTGTCTGTGTTTCCGATCAGTATAAAAAATTGTTGCTTATAATTTAATATTGGCAGTAAAAAAAAGACTACTTTACAATAATTATATATGACTACTATACCTAATAAAATAAATGTGTGATATAAAATGACAAATACTAATTTCCATTTATAAGTTAAATTTTTCATTTAAAAGTTTGTTTTATTTATTTCACACAATTTTTTCTCTCTTAGTCATAGGTAATAATATACTTTTTATTATCATTCCAGTCTAAGAGAATGAGCATCTTCCAGCATGACCACCAAAAACTTTAAATAACTTACATAATAGAGTCTGCAAAATTTAACTAATCATCTCCACCAGTTTATGAAACAAATCCAGATTATTTCTAAAACTTGCACATACCTTGTACACCCTGTAACTGTTCAACCACTTATGAATAAACATGGAAATGTCAGAAATCTTTTTCTCCCTGTTTTCTGGTGGCGTCATGACAACCTCGTCGGACATGTTGACAATTTTCTGGACATTGATGCCAGAGTAGCCCTTCAGTTCTTTCCACAACATGTTGGGGAACTTGAAGAGCAGGCACTGAAATTTTTTAATTTAAAATATAAACATGTTGGGGAACTTGAAGAGCAGGCACTGAAATTTTTTAATTTAAAATATAAACATGTTGGGGAACTTGAAGAGAAGGCAGTGAAATTTTTTAATTTAAAATATAAACATGGTCAGGTGTTAGAGCACTCAGCTGTTTACCCTTCTTCTTCTTCGTTTTTTTATTTTAGTGTTGGAAGGGATCCCCTCCAACACAATTAAGTATACGTGTCAACTGGTTATGCGCCATTGAGGTCATTGACTCCAATTTCAGCCTGCTTTTCTTTTTGGATTTGCTTCCATAGCCTTTGTCCAACCAAGAACAAACTACAAGGCAGCAATTGTTTGATTTTGGAGTTGTCTCTCCTAGAAGAGTGGCTGTCCCCAGCTATCGAGCCTCATCTGCTCGAGGGTTCGAACTCGAGACTCTTCAGTTTAGCAACCATGAGCTTTACCAACCCCCTTTTAAAGTCTCGAGCTAGGCCTCCAGACTTGAGAGCACAGAGCTTAGTACAAAAAACTGGAGTCAGGTGGATATTGGTAGGTTAAGTTAGGGAAAATAAAGGCGGATGGGAACATTATTCATTAATAATATCCCTACATCACAGAAACCTATAAAAAATCCCATTTCATTTTACCTATTCAACATCAGGGTAACTTACACATAGGATAAAATTTTTCAAGTTTTCATAAGTCAATAAAGTGACAGTGTGGTCGAATCATTGCCCAAAAGTCTCAAGTTTGGGTACCTTGCTAGAGTCATAGCACGTCTTTGAGTCCACCTTACTATTAGGGAAAGTAAAGGCTTAGAACTGACCAATCAAGGTCACAGAAACAGGTGAACCAGATTTAACCTCCCAGAGGGCCGCCAGATTGAAAAGGGAACTTTACATGTTAATTTCTGTCACATAAGCAGCCATGATTTTTATAAATATAATCCCCACTCCCCTCCCAGATAACAATGTCACGCATGATTGGATAAAAGATAAAATTCTTACCTGGAACAACAAGACAGCCACCACCCAACGGTAAAAGCTGATATCTGTCTTCATCCTTTCTTCCGGCTGGTACGGAATTTCTTGATCCATGGGGATGGAGTACATCTGTGAGATCCAGCACAGGTTTTCAGCAAATGCCTGTTGATGACATTGAGATTTGATTAAAATTCGACATTTGTATTATCAGCATAATTTTGTTCTAATATAACCTCCAGCATGGTTTTAAAGTATGCTATAGCTTTGTTATTGCAGAGACTTTTTAAGTTATCAATTATAGCTAGTAAAATTCCCTTTTGAACCCTGATGGTTCATGGGGCAAGTGAAGTAGAGTTCACTTGTTTACATGATTGACCGTAGCATATCAAGGGATAGTGTGGTCAGCACTATAACCAGCCACCTTACTTTCCCTAAGGTGAGTTAGGTACAATGTTCCCTCTAAGGGGAAAAAGCTAGTGCGCAAAATGTATTTTTTGTGCACGCTGTTCTACAAGTCTTATACAATGATATATTTATTTTACAAAATCAAAACTGCTGCGAGGCAGCGCAACCGCGCAGCTTAGAGGGAACATTGGTTATGTACCTATCAGAGCTGGGTGGACTTAGGGACGTTGTACTGACTTGCATTCAGTACTTTTGGGTCAGCAGTCTAGCACTATATCACTAAATGTAGCTAATATGATAGGCTTGGGGCACAAGTTAGGGTATCAATGGCATCAAGAAATACAACTTTATTGCCTGGCTTATATAAATTACTTTATGTTTGCTGAACAATTCCAAGTGATTTATTTACATCTAGACATGACAGAATGGTTTCAAATAGGCAGACAGATTTATTCATGTGTGATGACAAAGACTTTCAAAACAACCACACACATTGAGGAGCTAGGTGTGATTACACTTCTTGATCGCACCAATGAGACTACTGTGTATCTTTACACCTTATTATACCAATCAAGACTAATCTTTCTTACAATTACGTTGAAGCTACTTCAAAAACCGAACACTTCAAAATTTCCAGCAAGGTCAGTCAATCTTCAAAATTATGCACGCTCTCCATTTCAAAATAAACATTAAAATTTCCCATCCAAACAACAGACATATACATGTGAGATAAGCTAGAAGATCTCAACTTCCTAGACTCAGATATAATCATGTGAGATAACCTAGAAGATCTCAGCCACTTACAGTGTGATGTCCAGGAAACTGGGCTGGCACCCAGCAGTGGATTGGATCCCCAACATACTGGTTCATGCCGATGAGGGCAGCAAACGCGGCAAACAGAGCAACAGTACCCAGGTGGTGGAGCTGATCCACAGCATCGTCATCCCTAGCGCCCCGCGACAAGGTGATCTTGGACAGGGCTTCCAGCATAGACGACCACCTGAAATTGACAGAAACATTTTTTATTTAATGATTTCAAAGATAAACAACTAATCTGCTAAACACTACAGCTGGTACCATGTGCTGAAATGCACGATGCAAGGGAAAAGAAAATGGAAAGCCTAAGGAGACATGGAGATCCACATCTGACAAACAACTTAAATTATCTTAAAGTAAAAAAAAAAACAAGTTTCTTGACCTCTGCATATAAAGGGATAATGCAGCATTATGCCCAGCCACCTAACTTTAGTTAGATACCCATCAGAGATGGGTGGACTCTTAGACATTCTACTGACGTAAACCTGGATTCGAACTCAAGACTGTTGGGTTAGCAGTGCGAGCTCTAGCTCTAGGCCACTCCGTCCCATTATCTTAGTGTACTGTTAAGTATTTTGCTAGTGACTGGCAGAAGTGGGGGAAAAAACTGTCTGTGATGACTACATGGGTCTCATGGCAGGAAAGATGAAATTAGTTTGAACAGAAGTTCAAACAAAATCATTGAACAACTTTTGTAACTTCCATAATCCAGCATTTGTTTCCATGATGTAATAAGTATAAATATTATGTCCATGCTACAATTAGATATCAAAATATGGTCTGGATTAAAAATTAGAGCCAAATATAAATATAAAAATAATATAACAAATAAGAAAATGTACTTACATTTTTAAAGTGTTTTAATCAATCACCAAATTTAAAAAATTTGTACAACCTACTGCATCTGAAAACAGGAAAAATGTACAAGATATTTAAACATTGTAAAAATACTATTTACTCAGAAATAATGCATTTATGAAAACTGAGCCAAGCTGCAACTTTTTTTTATCTAAATAAGTCTTTGGTATTATCAGTAATATATGTAGGGTCACACATCACAAGCAGGCCGAACATTGCCAGATTGTTTTCACCTTGACAAGTTTACCTGGCCATTGTTGAGCCTCTTATCAAACTAAACCAAGCCCAGCTTTATAGACATTTTAAAAAATCTCATTTGGGGAGGAGACAAAGCCTATTTATAAACATGCACTAGACATTGGCACAATAAACATGTCAGTCACTGTAGATAAGAACAAATCCACCCCAAACCTACTGGAGACAGGACAATACCTCCTTACATTAAAATAACCTGTGAAGTTTTTAAAAAGTTTGCAATCATGTACTTGGTTGAAGAATTTAGATAACATAGTTCATTACCAACTAATTACTGTGATGACAGTGTATGCAACTTAATGATCATTTTAGTGGTTTCTATCGCTGACAGACTAGTAGAGTTCAATGATGCAACATGATAGTTTCCAAATAGCTTTTGTTACTGCAAAACCTTTCGGAAACTTTTTTTTAAAATCATGATGCCTTCCCAATCCCCTATATAAATATAAAATAAATATTGCTAATATGTTCTTCATTTGAAGCCCATTATAGGCATAGTGGATGAAAATCCTTAAGGCACATACTGATAGATAAATTTCAATTATTTTACACTTTTGATTAATTTTTGTGTCTTCCCAAGCTCTAGCCCTAGCCTCAGCCAGTTTGGTGTGTATGATGGAGAGGGGTAGGACACCCCCCTGTCAATTATCTTAAACTGCAATAGAATTACCCAGTGTCAATTTACCACCAACACCCCCCCCCCATCCCTCTACATGGTCATTTAGTTAGACATATGGTTAGGGAAATGTATAACTCTACACTGAAGTAAAGATATTTCATTGAGGGGGGGGGGGGGGGAATGTCCATATACCCATAATGGAGGGGAAGGGGTGATCTGCAATCTCAAGACAATGTTAGAAATGGAGGGGTGTCTGCTTTTCATGATGAGCGGACAAAAGGGTAAAAAATCTGCTAAATTAGAATAAGGTCTTCCATTAATTACCCTTAGCAAGAGGTACATACAGAAGATTTATGGAATTATTTATGTCATTTAATAGCAATCATACAATGCCTATTGTCGGTTAGGCTATCAACTATTTTCATAATGATGAACCTAAAATATTAACATAATGCTATTTATTGGTTATGAGTTATATTCAAGTCATTATTTTTATACAGTAAAAGAGTAATGCTGTAGTAATGGGCTACTATGAAGTTAATGCTTGGCTTGTTTGCCTATCATGCTGTATTCAAGTATATGGATCCTTTATTTAAGTGATCATCAAGAGGTGTTTGTCGTAAACAACGTCACTCTAAATTGGCGAGGGGGGGGGGTTGAATTTGTTTGAGTGGGAGGTTCAGAAAGTGGGGCAACACACTTTTGCATTTTAAAAATGTAATTTAAGAAAATGAGCATCGACCACCATTTCGCATTTTAAATAAGTTATATAAATTGTAACCATAATAAAAATGGATCAATATACTAAATGCTGATCACACTCAGTAGGCCTAGGTATTTTGGAAAGGAATTGATGTATTAAAAAACAATTTTTTTTGTTAAAGAGACGAAGGCAGAGATATAACATCATTTTGTGAGGAGGGGTCGGCGTGGTCAAGTCGGTAAAGCTCATGGTTGCTCAACCGAAATATCTCGAGTTCGAACCCCCGGGCAGATGAGGCTCTAGGAGAGACAACTCCAAAATCAAACAACTGCTGCCTTGTAGTTTGTTCTTGGTTGGGCAAACGCTATGGAAGCAAATCCAAAAAGAAAAGCAGGCTGAAATCGGAGTCAATGACCTCAATGGCGCATAACACGTATCCTTAATTGTGATGGAGGCTTGGTCGAGTCGGTAAAAAGCAAATGGTTGATAAATTCGAAAAAGACTCAAGTTCAAACCCTCTGGCCGATAAGGCTCGATCCCTTCCAACACCAAAAAAATTAAGAACGAACAAGAAGATTTCGAGGGGGAATCTGTGATGATAGGGAGTCGGATATGTAAAATTCATCTTCAATAGCCTGGATGTCGCCTGTGGGGTGTGTTACTATTAGTACTATTAAAGTTTCCCTTTGAAACCTGACTGTCTATGGGGCAAGTGAAGTAGAGTTCACTTGTTTCTGTGACCTCGGCATATGAAGAGGTTAATTTAAAAAGTAGGTTATCGATTTAAGTGATTCACACACACAAAAAATAAATCATTAAAACTAAAATATAGTCGATTCCTTATTAAACCATAAGTAAAAGTAAGTCACTGTGACCACTTAGGCTTAAGGTTAAGCATCAATTCTGATCTGATTAACAAGTTATAAGGGCGGGTTTTATCTATTGGTAGACTACTGTTTCAATCAAAATGTTTCAGGCTAGAAAGAAAAACAAAATACATTACTTAAAATTAGGCCTAGACCTAATAAAGAGAAATGAACAAAGAATGAAATTATCACAAAAATGTTTAGGCCTAATTAGGCCTATAAATATTAAAATAGTCCACTTAAAAACTGAATCCAAGGGACTTAACAACAACCATGTGCTATATTTTTTTATAATCTTCCCTTGCCCCATTAATCCAGTAGGCCTACCAGATAATTAATTTTAATGATTAGGCTACTTATTGAACAGTGAAGTTTTTTTTTTTAAATAAGGTTTTCCAAAGCAGAGTAGTAAAGTTTAAAGTTTAAGCAATTAACAAAGTAGATCTATATGCCCTTTTGGCTTATATAGATTAGAATAGGCCTATTAATTAGTGGGCCTAATGTGTTACTAATTACTTATGACTAGAAATGGGTGATTAGTTACATACTACATAGGGCTTTACACTTAGGCCTAAAGTACTAATTTTTTAAAGTAATAGGCCCTAATTGTTTTTAATTAGCCTACTTTTAGTTCTCAATATTCATGCCATAGAGAGTGTGTGTAGAATTTAGACCTCTGTAAAAGATCATTATAAATCAAATTAGGGCCTATAGCCTAAATTTGTATAAAATATAAAAAATGATCATATTCATAAGATAGGCATAGATCTACCTGCTGATGCCCTATGCCAAGCGTCTAAATACTAAATAAATAGCTTAGTAGGCCTACTAATATAACTATAACTCAATCACTAGAACTATAGCAGTATAGGCCCCCTAATAAATTAATTATGCCTAGGCCTATTGAATATGCCTATTAACTAATGTTTTTGTCCAGTTTTTTGTTACAAGAAACACACGAAAAACGATAGATCATCTAGAATCTAGGACTAACACTGCAAAAAGACGCATGCAGAGCATGGGCACGGTGAATGTTTAATGTTTATCGCTCCCTGGGATAGGCCTGCGACGAGAAACGCGCTTGGCCAGTGGTCACTCTGAACTTAAAAAATTCTGAATTTTTAAAAAGTTTTTAAACAATTATTTTTTTTTTAAAACAAGGTAAAATAAAATCACAGATTTTAAATTAAACTTTGCATTATTAAATTAAATAATCAAATCAGACTTATTGATGACAAACAAACCACGTACACAGACCTACCTGTTGCCCTGATTAAAAATGAACGTACACTGCTACTTGAAACACAGCAACAAGTTTACAGTGCCATTCGTCTAAAAATAGAAGGGGCCTCAACCGCTTGGCCTAGATTTCTTCATGCCCCATCGAGAGTTGGACAAACACAGTCGTACCATACCCCCACGGCGGCGGTGTGTATGTCCGTGTCGAGACACGACCTGCCAGCCTTCTGCAAACACCGTGTGTTAGTGTACAGCCTGTGTGTGCTGTTCGGATCGTGTAAGAATGAAGTGGGAGGGGTGAGGGTTATTATAAGAGCATTACCTACCTACACTTGCTTTGGGCTAATCAAAAGTTTGATGACAGTCCCGCGGTTTATCTATGTAACTTTCGTTTTTTAACGCAGGGGCGGATTTTAATATTTTTAAGGAAGGTAGGCCCTACACATTGGTGCCAGATCATATGAACAATGGGTAAATAACCACCGTAATGGTATGGGGTACAAAGCGGTTTTCTGTATTATAGATATAAGAATAACTTTCAGACTTACTCAGTAAATAAAAGTACTTAGTCATGAATGAGGGTAATGAATAAATAATGGCATGCTTTTCTGATGAATTTGACCTCCCCACTCCCACTGTCCAGAGGCGTAGCGACCTATTCCGGGGCGGACTATCTATTTTGCGCCCCCTTTCTATATAGTTATTTTCGTCAGTAAAATAGCGTAACCCCCTCCCTCCCCCCCTCCCCCTTGGAAAGGCGTGTGGCGTATCCCGCAACATTTTCTATTTCAGTGTAACAAAATTGTTAAATTAGCGAGCGATTTAGTGTGAAGCCTTGAAGTCGTCTATTTTCGTAACTTTGACTGCATAATTCAATATTTCAGCTTAAAATTTTTATATTAAATTTTCTACCCCTGGTGGCGCCCCCTTAGGGGTTGGCGCACGCCCCACCCGCTCTTCCCTAGCTAAGCCACTGCTACTGTCACACATATTCACAAAACGTCAGAACACCGCGACTGCCCCCTTAAAGGATGTCACACCCTAACAGTGGCGTGCAGAGGGGGGGGGGCGGACGGGGCCCAGGCCCCGGGCATCCACCACGCGGGGGCATCCAGCGGAGGTGGAGGAAATTTTTTTTTAATTTAATTTAATTTTTTTTTTTTTTTAGTAATTTAAAAATTGTTGCGATATGTCGTGTCATGGTGTCATCGTAACTTTCCATATGTTTTGCGATCTCACTCAAAAAAATCGTAACACTCAATCGTCTGTCACTCGTTTTAACATTACACTGTCCGTATAGCAAAACTCATATAAAAAAAGCGGGCATCAGTGAAAGGTAGTCCTATGGTAGTCATTGATATTCCCTTAATAAATGTGTGTGATATTTATTTACTATAGTGTAGGGGCATCTTTTTGAGTACTTGTGACCAAGTTATTCCCATGCACTGTCGGGGCATCTTTAAAGTAATATGCGCGTATTCGTTATACTCATTCTCAAGGACATCCGTCGAGTAATTAAATCATATTTATTTTTATACACTGTAGGGGCATCTTTATAGTAATTATTCGTATATTCATTATAATATATTTTATGAGCATTTAGTAATATGCCCACTTCACTTTATGATACATTTTAAAGGCATCCATACAGTAAGTATGCCCATTTTCAATTAATATAATGTAGGGGCATCTTGAAAGTAATAATGCTAATATTCATGTAATACACTCGAAGGGCATGCAACAGTAATTACACAAATCATCGTTGTTAACATTGGGGGCATCTCTAAAGCTTTTTAAATGTACTTCTTCATTATGATCCATTTAAGGGCATCCAAAGGGTAATTATGCCCATATTATTATTATAAATTTTTGGGGCACCTTTGGTGAAATATATGTAGAGTAATAACGCCCAAACGTTTTTTTTTTTTGTTAAATTGTATGGGCAGCCTTCAGTGGCGTAACTAGGATTTTCGGCACCTATGCAAAAATTAACAATGTTAATAATGTTAGTCGCCCGCCCTCCCCCACACTGAATGCCACTGCCTGTACACTAAGAAAGGACTTGGGGCCTTTTTTAAATTAAATTATTTCTACAGTAGAAAATGAACAACTTAATTTCCATTTTTTTTTTAAATTATTTATATAAAATAAATATCAAAATTCCAATGAAAATTTTTTAACTTTTTAAAAGAAGGAAAATGGCCCATATTTGCCTTGGGCTCCTTTGCCTTGCTTACTCTAGCTTTACGGTAGCTACGCCACTGGCAGCCTTTAGTATATATTTATTTTCATGCATTATATAAGCATACTTAAGAATAAGAATGCCCATATTGTTTTTGATACACTGTAGCGACAATCTCAAGAATACGAATCAACATATTGTTTTCGATACATTGTAATGATATCATTCAGAATAATTGCGCCCATATTGATTTTTACAAATAGGGGGAAGCATGCTTTAAGTCGTGTTAAAGTTAAAGTATTTTAACTCTGAGTAGAGCTTTTTTTAAAGCAATTGGGGGCACATACAGAGCCAGTTTTATTTCAGTTAATAGTAGAGCTATCTATAGAGTTATTGAGCTCATTTTGATGTAATGAAATGTGGGGATTCGGTGTGGGTTTTTAGGCCATGGAAGCCATTAGTGGATTATCCCCCACCTGAACTAGACAGGCGTTACCTGGTGTGTTAAATTTGGGAAGACACGTCCAAGTTGTAGGGAGGGTCTGACATAGCACAGTGGATTTTTAAACACAGTCCGATGTAGAAGTATTTTTGTTTTAGGGCTGGCAGCTTAGCCAACCAAGGTACACTTCTGTTATATTCAAGGTTAAGATAGTTTGAGAGTATCTAGCATCACCCATCTCTTTAAACAGTTGACGTTCTGACCAAGTGGTTTAGAGAAAAAAATCTGAAACATCTCTAGTTCAATGCACACTCTCACCTGTATTAGTTACACTACAGGAATTCCTAAACAGGCCAAGAGAGAAACATCCCATTAATAAAGGCGTATCTGACGCCCTAATTGCAGACACCGACAACGTTTTTGTCACCGCGGTCTCGGGTGGTAATACAATACCGGATGAGACTCTTTTGTAGTGCATCACAGCCCCCACCCCCCACCCCACCACAACACGTCCCGCAATTGTCTCCCCCTTTCCGACCCCCCCCCCTCCCCTCCCAAGTTCCAACCATTCATTCCGTTTGGATTTAGCTGGCTGTAGTCAACGTTTTCATCTTAATTAAGATAAGTACAATTTTTTAAATAAATGCTTTTCTATGTATATTAACGTCCAAGACAACTTATGTTTATTTTTGTAAGTAAGCTTTATATATATATATATATATATATATATATATATATATATATATATATATATATATATATATATATATATATATATATATATATATATATTTATGGGGGCATCTTCCGCTTGAGTTTGCCCCGGGCATCTACATAGGTCTGCACGCCACTGCACCCTAACCTACACCCCCACCCCTCCTCTCATAACTGAAATGCAATTTTTTTTTAAAGCTTCGATTTCTTTCTAAAATTTTGGATAAGTTCGGTCAACATAGTAATCAATTTGAAGAAAACCAAATTAATATTGCTTCTAAGTGTTACATACACAGTTCCTGACCACCACCCAACCAAATACTCATGTAACATGATATTTAAAAAATGTTACAACATCACCCTCCCCACCCTTGTGGTACATGGGTGTGGGCATGGATTGTAGAAAAAAAGTCACAGGAAATAAGTCACATTTTTCTGTGTGCATGGAACTGGCTAATAACATTTAGACCATTTTAGGCTAATGACAAATAGTTACCATATAAAAGGAAAAGAAATACTTCGAAAGAATCATAAAACGTTAAATAACATCTGTTTTAAAGAAAGTTTTATTACAACCTGATTTTAAAACTAAAAAAAAAAACCTGTCCAGGTTTATACAATTTTATAGCATCATTATGTCTTTAGGGGTCATCAATAAATGACGTCACGCTTTTTTGACGATTTTTACCTCCCCTGTAATCTTACAGCTACCTCTCCCCCCCCCCCTCCCCTCCGTCACACGTCGTCACAAAAAGCCAGACCCCCCCCTAAAATGACGTCACACCTCAGCGTACAACCCCCCTCAAAATTGCTGTTGAATTTTTCTTAAAACATCGATATTTTCCCAAAATCTTGTCAGAACTATGTTAACATAGAGTATTTTGATCAACTCCTATTACAATTTATTAAAACCATTTTCTAAAACGCGAAATAACGGCTAAAACTCGTTTTCTAACATTGCTTTTTTATAATGCGAAAATGTGACGTCACACCATCTGACCCCTCCCCCCCCTCATCACACACCGTCACAAAATTACGGACCCACCCTCCCCCCTACGAGTGTGACGTCATTTATGGACGACCCCCTTACTGAGAATGTGATTTGGAGATGGCTCGCTTTAAAAATACTGCCGCCACTAATTTGTTTAATGCGCAAGCATGACAGTGAACGTGCACATAGTCATACTGTATCAAGTATCACGTAAATTCATGTAGAGTTTCTTACAGAGATCTCTGAAGAAAGTCTACCGCCCCCACCCCACCCCCCGAACGAAATGGAATGTATATAGAAAATTTATACTTTTAACAGTGTCAGCCCCTCCCCCCCCACCCCCCAAAAAAATGTCGTGCCCCCCCCCCCCCCTCCGGAGAAAAAGAAATTTTCCGGGGGGTGAGGGGGAGGACTAAAATTTCCGGAGGGGTGGGTGCGGACACTGGTAAAAGTATATATTTTGTATATAAATTCCATTTCATTTTTTTTGGGGGGGGGGGGCAGTAGATGCCTGGAAGAAACTTTGTTTGATACCACAACACCCCATATAACGGCATAACAGAATCAAAACCACCACACCTTAACCCTTCGTGTTAGCTGTTAGATTATATCATGTACTATATTATGTGCACGATCTCTTACAGCAACTACCAAACCAAAATACTTTTGATAAATGTTGATCAGATTTACCACACAGCAATTTACATTATTCTTCTGTCTCCATTACCCGATAAACATATAAAACTTGTAGAGCTAAATTAAACACGGAAACACAGTTTTTAATTTTTTTTTTTATTAAACCTAGTGCCAGGGGCGTTGACGGGTTTTCGGGACACAAGAAACTTGCCTCAAAAAGATACACATGTTTATAATGACAATTGTTTTTTGTTT